CAATAACAATGGCATTATAAGTAAATACGATCCTTTGGATTTTATATAATATCTCATTCAAGTGGTATCCAATCCTGAGTTTTAAAGTGTATGTTCATATCTTTGTTTTAAAAAAATATAGACAAAAATTCTGTCAATGCAGAAAAGGCAATGAATTATATGAAATTTAAGTCATCCTAGGATTACTATTAACATTAAAAAAATAAACAACAGAAAAAACCTTCTGAAATATAATTCATTAAGGTTGAAAAGTTTGTGTGCATGTGTGTTTATGTGCCGAGAGAGAGAAAAAGGGGGAGAGAGGAAATGGGAGAGAAACTATTCACTGTTCTTTTCCTTCTTAATGAAAATAAAAAACAAAAAACCTCATAAAGAGTTTTAGTCTATGACATCACTCCACCAGTAATCATAGACAAGAGCGGATGCAGCATTTACCACTCCCTGATGAATGGCAAAGTGGCCTTGGGTATTAAAGACAGTTAGACGCACAAATACACGCACAGAAAACCGAACTTAGTTTTGTATTGTTGACTATTAACACTGACTTTTATTGCTCAAATGGTTCTCTCTATAGTAGGGTCCTGGTGTGGTGTTGCAGGATAATGCTCTGGACTGCAAGCTCAGTTTGAACTGCAAGGTCAGCAGTTCTCGGAAACCCTAGACAGGGTCACTATGATTTGGAATAGACTCAATGGCACTTAACAACAACAATAGTAGGGTAAGGAATTTTGCCTTTGGACTCAATGGGACAATATTTTTTTTCCTGCCCAAAAAGTTATGTATCAGAAACAGCAAACTCCATAGGTCAGGAGTCCTGGTATGGTGCTGTAGGAGAGGCACTGGACTGCAAGGTCAATTTGAACCTCAAGGTGGCCATTCAAATCCACTAGCCACTGCTTGGATGGAAATCCTATACAGGGGTGCTATTAATTGAAACCAAGAAGACGGCACTGAACAACAAAAACAAAGGTTTATCTGGGGTTCTAGTGTGACATTATAGGATAAGCACTGGACTGCAAACCACAAGGTTGGTGGTTCAAACCCGCCAGGCTCTCCTAGGAGATGGCTGTGAGTCAGAATCAACTGAACGGCACTTAACAACAGAAACAAGCTTTGTCTAAAGCCATAGTGGAAACTACAGGGGGGGATTCCAGATTCTTTACAGTAAACTGAGCATGAAAAGTGGGCCCATATTGGTATATGAAAGGAGTAAATAAGAGACAAACTCATGTATAGGAGAGCATTCAATCCAAACAATGCATGAAGTCAGAGATGTGGATCAACACACACATTTCTGAAATACAGGTTCTTCTGGGAACTTGTTCTGAAGTTCTTTGAAAATCTGGCCAAAGCAATTGCATTTTAATATACCAGTTCACATAATAATAAGCAAGTCAGAACATTTCAAGACAAGATCTTTTCTTTTATGCAGCCAGCAAAAACAGAGCTTTAAGCTTAAATTGTAATGATAAAAGGATTTGGGAGCAGCTGACTTTAGAGAATCATAAAAACAATCCACCCTTATGCTCCAAGGTATAAAGAATATGCAGACTCTGCATTGTGCTGCTAGTGTCAGGACAAATCATTCTGGGTTTTTTTTTTCCCAGTGAGATTAACCAATGCCAGTGGATGAGTAATGGGAGAAATAAACGTACAGAAAGAGACCTGTGGCTTGATGAGGTGAATGCTATCTGTATCACAGTCATCATTCTCTAGTTCATCTTCCTTCCGGTTAATTTACATAATTAATGACAACTTTATAGGTTGTGGATTATGTGTTATATGTGAAACTTCTGCTATTTGTAGTTGAAATTATGAGGGAGCGTACACATCAAAGACTCTCTTACTTACGGAGATAAGTAATGGAATGAAAGAATTATGTGATTAAACTCCCTTGAGTCCGTTTGGGAATGCTATAGTCCATATATAAATCTACAGCCATGAGTGGTTCTTAGATATCTAGTGCTGTTTCTAGACACCTCTCATGGATTCTCATTTAATCCTTTAATACCTAGGAGGTAGGTACTAGCCTCTCATTTTAAAGATAAGAACACTAAAGCATAAAAACTCTACATTGAATGGTTCATAGAATGATGGAAGCAGGCATTGAACCTAGATAATTTGACTCCAACCTTTATGTTCTTAACCACTTCATTAGCTTGTCTTCAGGTTGTGTGTTTATACTGACTGCTTAGTGGAACTCTAGGGCAAGTACAGGACTGCTAATGGTAACCCGCCCATCCATGGGAAGGAGATGAGGCTGTCTCCTCTTGTACAGACTTACAGTCTCAGAAACCTGATACAGTCACTAAGAGTCCTAGTAGGATAAGCACTGGACTGCTAATCACAAATTTGGTGATTCTACTGCACTGCTAATCCCAGGGTCAACGGTTCAAATCAGCCGCTCCTTGGGAACCCTGTGTTGTCGTTGCTAAGTGCTGTTGAGTCTGTTCCAACTCACAGTGACGCTGTATAGGGTTTCTGAGGAACACCAGGTGGATCTGAACCTCCCACCTTGTGGTTTGGTGCTATAAGATAAGAACTGGACTGCTAACCGCAAGGCTGGCAGTTCAAACCTACCAGCTGTTCCTTGGAAACCCTATAAAGGGTCACTATGCATTGAAACACCCTCGACAGCACTTAACAACAACAACCTTGTGGTTAGCAGTCCAGTGCTTATCCTACAGCACCATACCAGAACTCCCAGAAACCCTATATAGGGTTGCTACAAATTGGCACTGAATCCTTACAAAATGGCACTTAGCAACATGAGTGAGAATAGGTTTGGGGTGTTTGGGTTTTTGGTTTGGATTCAGTTATTTCTGCTAGACTTCGGCTACTAAGCATCACATTATTTGGGGATTTACTCTATAAATATCAATCTTAGAATTTGACAAATTTTTCTTAGAACCTTCCTTGCCTCCTTATATTCCAAACCCCACTGCCATGGAGTCCATACTTAGCAAACCTATATAGGTAAATCTTCCTACTCAGGAGCAGCCAGTGAAGACGTGTTTAGCAGTCCAGTGTTTATCCTACAGTACGAGGGCTCCTCATATACCAGAAAGCCTAAATAACATTAAAGAGCTCAGTTGTTGGTAAAGAGACCATGCTAATGTTTAAAGCATTCAATAGAATTGAAAAAAACCGCCCCCTCTTCAAGTTCCCAACATCCAGGTGACTCAGTCAGAAATGAGTCCACTGACTTCCCATAAAGCCAGTGCTACACCCAATTTAGTTAACTTTATTGTTGCATAGCAACAGAATACCACAACACAGGAAACGAAGAGAATATTTTAGAAGAAAACCCCAAACATCTAAACCCACTGTCATAGAGTCAGTTGACTCAGCGACCCTGCGATGCTGGGTATTCGGCTAAGACCCTATTTCGCTCAAACATAAAATTCTGGACCAAGACAATCTTAGTGATTATTCTGCTTCTTGTATTGAACCACAGCAATTTTTCTCTTTGATTTGACAAATATCTGAAGTCAAACTAAGAAATCTAAAAATATGATACAGCTACAGTAGACATAGCGTAGTAGTGGTTACAAATCGGGCTGTGAACCACAAGGTCAGCAATTCGAAACTACCAGCTGTTCTGCGGGAGAAAGATGAGGCTTTCTGCTCCCGTAAAGATTTACAGACTCAGAAACCCTGTACAGGGTCGCTATGAGCCGGAATCGACTCCACAGCACATAACAACAGTAGAAAGGAGTCCTGGTGTGGTGCTGTGGGCTAATACGTCTAACTGCAAAGTCGTTTGAACTTCAAGGTCGGTGGTTCAAGCTCACCAGCCGCTCCTTGGAAGCCCTATACAGGGTTGCTATGGGTTGGAATCGACTCGATGGAACTTGACAACAATAGAAAACCTGGTGAGGAGATCAATGAGTTTTCGCAAGCAATTAAAGAAAGCTAGAAACCAACTCAATTGAATTCTCTGGGGCTCTAGGAAAATTTTCTAATAAATTTAACTCAAAGCTGCAAGTTGTACATTTAACACAAAGTTACGCGTGGTCCCTAGCGTGGTGTGATGAGGAGCTGAGACAAACAAGATTCTCAGGGATACTTGACACACACACCCACGGCCAAGGACCATCAAGGAAGCTGGTAGGAGAGATGCTAGGAAAGACTATTGACAGTAAGAGAAAGGAAGGAAAAAGACTTGAAAAGGAGTGTGTCCTTGAGTTTCGGTTGGGTTTTAATAAATGCCTTCGAGTCAGTTCTAACCCATAGTGATACCAGGACTCCGTACGGTTGATGTTTCTGTGCTGTGGCATCGGTTCTGACTCATAGTGAATCTGCATAATAGGGGCCCGTGGGACAGCTGGTAGTTCTGAACTGCTGACCGTGAGGTTGGCAGCCCCAATTCGTAACCACTACGCTACCAGAGAACCTTAAGTTTTAGTATTGTTGTTGTTGTTAAGACCCATAGCGACCCTGTACAGGGTTTCCGAGGGTGTAAATCCTTACGGGAGTAGAAAGCCTCATCTTTCTTCCGCGGAGCGGCTGGTAGTTTCGAACCGCTGACCTTAAGGTTCGCAGCCCGATTCGTAACCACTACGCTACCAGAGCTCCTTAAGTTTTAGTATACGGTTTCCTATAAATGAGGAGCGGTTGGTAGGCTTGAACCGCCACCTTGCGGCTCAATGCGACCTCGCGAAAAAGGGCTTATCCTTCAGCGCCATACTAGTACTCCATTGGTTAACATTTCCAAATACAAAGACCGCCAGCCCCACTTCCGTCTGAGGCAAAGCGGCCGCGCACGCGCAGTCTTGTCGGTCTTGGTTGCTGGGCGGAGCAGAGCAGCGCGCGTCAGTCAACTTGGCCAATCACACGTCCTTCACGCCTCTCGCGCGGTCTCCCCTCTTTAAAGCTATGGCCGAAGCAAAACCTCAATCTGGCCAATCGTGCGTCTCTCCCGCCTACCGCGTGGTCCCACCCCTGGAACGCTAGCAGTTTACGGCTGCGGCTGCACGAGATTTCTGCGAACTCTGGGGATGGCGGAGGGAGGTAGTGTGCTAGGGGCAAGTGGTTGTCCGCGAGATGAACTTATTCGGGAGTCTGTTGTGGAGTCGATATGAGCTCCCTGACCGCGGTCGGGGAATCGTTCAACTTTCCCTCAGGACTGGAGCCCTCGGGGACTAGTGTGGGTTTTCTGCAATGGTGGGAGGGGAAGGAGGACTCCTCCCCCTGACTTGTTAAGTGCCTTCATGTGGGTTCCGACTCTTAGCGGAGCAGCTGAGGAGCAGCTGGAGGGTTTGAACCACGGACCTGTGCTTAGCAGTCCAGTGCTTATCCTACAGCCTGGATAAATAGCGATCCAGTTATCGCTGCCTGAGGACACAAACTTCAACCGACTCTCCTTTCAGGGATTATTTGCTACTTTAAAAACTAGGACTGGGCAGTGTTTCCTTCTGTTGTGCAACAGGGTCGCTATGAGTCGGTACCGACTCGATGGCACCTAACAATGACAAATGCAAACGCGTGGCTCTGCAGGACAAACACTGACTCCTGGACAGCCATTAAAAACACGCAGACTTGGGTAACTTTATCTCCCCTGTAGCCCTTATGCCTGGGTTCTGAGGGGCACTGGTTCCGGTCCCTGCGGCTAGGGTTCCTGTGACGTGTGGTTATGTTGATGTCTTTGAATCAAGATTTTGGTTCTGTTTCAGTATGAAGCGGTCATAACCAAACTTAAGAATTCTTGACTATCCAAAGTTGTTACTTCACCCCGTGTGGCCGATTTTGAAGATAGTGTGATTAAAAACAAATTGTCTTGTTTAAATTAGATATTAGTTAATGTGTTTGAGGTTTTATAAAAGAAAAACAGTACAACAAAGAAGGCAAGAACTAATCGCAGCCAAGTGAAGGTCTTACTGGCAAATGTTATACACAACACTCTTTGATACAAATTGAGGACTATATTGTTTAGTGCCATGAGTCAGTCCTGACTCATAGCTACCTTGTATAGGGCTTCTGAGGGGCATCTGGTGGGTTTGAACCGCTGACTTTGCGGATAGCAGGTTAGTGCTTCTTAACAGCGCCACACCAAGACCCCAAAGACTAGACAGAGGGATGGATTAGTTTAATTTTCATTTTGTGATCCCGTTTCTTTTTTAGAGAGAAATCAAGATAAATCAAGATTTTTCCAGATGAAGAGCCCTTCAGACTCCCCTGTGACTTTACCCTGCACTCCACAGGCCTGCGAGACGCCACCATCTCCCCACACAAATAGTTCAAGAAAACAAGTATGGAAAACTCAGTTCTTCCAGTGGGACCACTGTGTTTCCCAGTATTGTGGCAGTTTTAAGTCTGCTGAAGATTGTTAACTGGCGGACACTGTAGCAATAAGAAGATGGATTTTATTAAATATGAAATAATATGTTTCTTCTAAGATAATATGTGAGAGGGCTTCAAAAAAGTTCATGGAAAATGTAATGAAAAGAACATGGAATTTTTCCATGAGCTTTTTGAAATGTCGTGTCAACCATTCATACCCCAAATTTTCATCTTGAATAAATGCTTTTCCTATCAGGTTATTGGTGTTGTTAAGTGCTGTTGAGTCGATGCCGATTCACAGTGAACCTGTATAGGGTTTCTGAGGAGCAACTGGTGGATTTGAACTGCCGACTTTGTGGTTCAAAGTCTAGTGCTGATAACTACGCCAGGAGTCCTTTCCTATCAGGTTGCAGGCCTCCAAATTGTGGAAATGTGATGTTGTTATCATAACGTGGTTGGTTGCAGGATCTAGATCTTTTCATTCGTAATTCTGAAGCACCTGGAATAATGTCAGACATGTTGCTCAACAAATGTGATTACTTGGGTCATTGTCTCAACAATTTGGAATACTGATCTTGCTAAAGTAGAAAGAGTAAAACTAATAGAGCATTCAGGAACTTTAAGCTTTTCTGTGATGGTTATTTTCATGGAGACAGCCATTTAATGGTGTGTAGATTGCTATGATCGGAGTCCACTAGGCATCATAACAAAAATAAAGAACCCTGGTGGCACAATGGTTAAGTGCATGACTGTCAATCAAAAGGTTGTCGGTTCAAACTCACCAGCTGCTCTGTAGAAGAAAGATGGGGCAGTATGCTTCTGTAAAGATTGTTGTTAAGTGCCATTGAGTAAGTTCCGACTCATAGTGAACCTGTATAGTGTTTCCAAAGAGCGGCTGGTGAGTTTGAACGGCCAACTTTATGGTTGTTACCAGTTTTGTGGTCTAATGGTTTATCCCACAGCACCGCACCTGTAATATTTCAGCCTTAGAAACCTGTGGAGCAGATCTGTTCTGTAGGGTCGCCATGAATCGAAATCAACTAGATGGCACAAAGCAACAATAACCGTAGATCTGTAAGCTCTGTATTTCTAGTAAATTTAACGTTATGGTTTCAATGTTTTGTGCCTCTTTCAGCCTATGAGTGCGGCACTTCGAGAACGACTAAGGAAAACAAGATCATCATTTCCTTCCTGTTACAGTGTAGTAAAACGACTTAAAGTAGAGGATGAAGAAAGTGATCCAATTGTTGCAGAGAAACCATTGTCTTCAACAGAAGGAAACTGTTTGGAATATCAAGAAAATTTTAAACATGTAGACAATGAATCTGAAGAAAGTACATGTTTGAAAAGTACCTTCAAGAATATCAGTGCATGTGAATCTAAATCAGATAGTGCTCTCCAAAATAATTTTGTCAGTGAGAATCTTCCCAAACAGGGATTACAGGAAGTAAAAGCAAATTTGGTGAAACAGATTCAAGAGAAAGAAGACTTTCTTCGGAGGTTGAAACTAGTTAAAATGTATAGATCAAAGGTGAGAAGAAGTTCAAAACCATTGGATAACATTTGTTTTAAGATAAATTATAAGAAAGTAATTTCATGAACAGAAAAGTTTATTTTAGCATAGTAAGCAATAAGTCAAGTCTCTAGAAATCTGGCTTTGAATAACTTTAATTCAAGTACATCCAGAGATTTAGAGGCGAGTAAAAGAGAACTCTTAATACCACATGACAACTTTTCCAGAGTCCCAGCTGAAGGTGATCACTTGACTCTTATTTAATACTCAGTTGAAGCTGCTTTTCTCTGAGTTCCAGTCCGTAGCGTTATTAAAAGTATCAAATGTTAGATGCAAGTACTAAGGGAATAGAAGTGATAGCCCACAGTGAGTGAATGAATAAAATAGCAAGTGACCCACAGACTTTTTAGTAATAATCTTGTGTCTCCCCCAAATAATTAGAATATACCAGGTATTCTGTTTGAGAAAATACAAATATGTATTCAATTTTACATTTCAATTCAAGATACATTGAACTGAATAGAAACTTGGGTACTAGAAAGGAGATAACTTTCATTTACCCAGATAATCCATGTATATATGCAATACTTTATTCTTTCTCAGTGATGTGGGTAAATTATGGATTCGCATAATTCTTGAATTTTTAGACTTTTCTAAAAATGACTACTTGAAGTATTTTTAGACTTTGAATGTTGAAAGTATTTTAAGTTTGAATATTATTTTATGGTACAACTGTAGTGTAAAAAGTGGGCTTTTAAAATCTATATTGTTGCTTTAAGGAGCCCAGTGGGTTGAGTTGGGCCACTAAGTTCAAGGTCAGTGATTCAGACTCATTAGCCACTCCTTGGGAGAAAGATGAGGCTATTTACTATCTCAGAAACCCTATGGAGCAGTTTTTATTCTGTCCAATATAGTGTTGCTTAGAAGGAATCAAGGAGTCCTGGTGTGGCGCTGTGGGTTAATGCACCAGACTGCAAAGCAAGGTCAGTGGTTCAAGCTCACCAGCTGTTCTTCGGAAACCGTATGCAGGGTTGCTATGGGTAGGAACTGACTCGACAGCATTTAACAACAGCAACAACAAGAAGTAGGAATCAGCTGAGTGGCAGTGGGTTTAGTGTTTCTGGTTTATAGCTTTTGCCCCATCCAGTTGGATTTTTTCTTAAGAGTAAGGATGGCCAAAAGCAAGGACCAAACACAATAGGCATAGAATGCAAAGGGACATTATAAGCATTTTACTTAGGACCATCCTACTTTTCTGTGGTTCAAAGTCCTGCTCATCTCCAGATGTGTTAGTCTTTAAACATATATACCAACTGATTTAATAACTTTTAAATGAAAACAGCACAACCACCTTATTACTAACATATCTCTTTCTATATATTTTTTCTTTTTCAGAATGACCTGTCTCAGATCAGGTTGCTAATACAGAAGTGGAGGAAGTGCAGCCAGCTGTTACTTTATGAGTTGCAGTCAGCTTTGTCTGCGGAGAATAAGAAACGAAGTCTCACTGAGTTGATAGACCACTATGGGTTAGATGACAAACTGCTCCTCTATAACAGACGTGAAGAAGAATTTATAGATGTTGAACTGTAATTATTTTTTTTTAGAATTATCTTTGAGAGTGACAACTTAATTTAAAAATGTTTATATGGTTTAAAGGGAAGGTATAAACTGTTAGGGGTTAAAGGAAGGTTTCCTGGTGAACATTAGTGCAGGGCACTCTGTTACGTAACCCCTAATGATTACATAAATATACACCAAGTCCTAAAATAGAAGTTTAATATTTTGTATAAATGTGGCAAAGAAAACTTGACATGTAAAGAAATGTAAAAAAATAACTTGGGTAATTTCTGGAGACCACTTTAATAAATTGTTTATTATAGCAAAAAGTTTTATTTTACGTGTTAAAATAACAGTCCAATTTGGTAAGTGTCTAAAGACCCTCAAAAGATGTATTGGCACACATGCAATGGGCTCGCGTGTAACAACAATTGTGAGGCTGGGCCAGGACTGGGCAGTGTTTCATTCTGTTGGGCATAGGGTCGCTATGAGTAGGAACTGATTCAACAGCACCTAACAACAACAAACCTAATCTGATCTAAAAATGCTTACCTCTTTCTTCATCTTATGATTCTTGTTTCCACCCACATACCACATATTTCATCTGACGCAGATAATTAAGCTCAATGATGCAATTATATCCTTCTCTCTTTAAAATTGTATCTCGTAGTCAGCTCAGTGAAATGACCATCTGTTTCTTATCAACCTCTATCATCTCCCACATCAAGGCATCATGTTGGTCAATCTTTCATCTACCTTTCCAGCTTTAGGTTATGCTACCAGTGCTGCTCAGTTCACAGGGACTTCTCAGCCCCAAACACCCCACAGGCTTGGGCTTTAGGCTGCCATGGTGTACAATGTTAACTGTTTTCCTAGCTATGTATGAAGATAGGACCCAAGCTGAGAATTTGGAATTGAACTCAGGAAAAGAAAACCCATCTTTGTGTGGTGAAAGTGTTACCTGTAAACCTGGGAGCAGCAAAGGTGGCATGTGTAAGGATAGTGTGTGCTTACAGAAAATAGCAGAGGTGATAAATGGGGACAGAACTTTTGGGGTCAGTGTTACCCTGGTCTTAACTTCCAGTCCTTCTGAGGTCTTTCTGGATTCCTGTGGTGCTATAGGATATACACTTGACTGACCCTCGGTTTGAGATGCAAGTTCAAACTCACCAGCTGCTCCTCGGAAAACCTATACAGGGATGCGATGAGTCTGAATTGCCTGAACAACAACAAACCAGCTTTACTTGGGAGTTGGAGGGTAAGTACTTTTGAAGGTAAGACAAAGTACTTCCTTACAAGTTGGTAAACAGCAAATGACTGAGGATATCCCCTCCTTCTGTTCAGTCCCTGTCCCTGATCTAACACCTTCCCCCTTCTGACTCTGTAGGAACCTCAGGACCCTGCCCTTGCATTCCATTCTAATAATACTTGTGATGGCTAGTTTTGTATGTCAGTTCAGTGAAACTATGGTACCTTAGTGCTATATTTGATAAGAATAGCAAGCACTAATGTAGGTGTTGTTGTGGAGGTATTTTGTACCTTTGTACACAATCCACTGATTGTGTAAAGTAGATGATCTTTGATGTGGGTGGTCCTTCCAATCCATTGTTGTTGTTAAGTACTGTGGAGTCGATCCCAACTCATAGTGACCCTGCACAGGGTTTCCGAGGCTGCAAATCTTTACGGGAGCAGAAAGCCTCATCTTCCACGGAACAGCTGGTAGTTTGGAATTGCCGACCTTGAGGTTAGTAGCCCGATTCTTAACCACTATGGTACCAGAGCTCCTTTCCAATCCATTGGAAGACCTTAAATGTTTCCCAGAGAAGAAATTATGCCTCAGGACTATACTACCAGCTGCCTGAAATTTCAGCCTTCTGGCCTGCTCTACAGGTTTCAGAACAGGCTAGCCCCATAGTCCTATGAACCAGCAGAGTATTGAGAGCTGTGGTAGAGATGGTTGGTGCCATATGTTTGCAAATGGGATTAATGGGAGAGCTTGAAAAGTCTCCAGGGAGCAGGTTTTCCCTCTCTTTTTTTTTTTTGAGTGCTAACATTTGGACTTTGTACCAAATTTTAAAGTATATTAACTCACTCGCCTATTATAGCGATCAATACCCCAATTTTAAAGAATAATAAAAATCTAGAGCAGCTATGAATCAGAATTAACTCGATGGCAGCATGTTGTTGTTAGTCAAATCTGGAATGTTGTTGCTGTTCAGTAGAGTTGAGAAGAGTTAGTACCATGCACTATATCGAGTGGAGAGTTAGGGGTACAGAGCCTTTGTGCCCTTCCTTCCAGAGCACCTGCCAACTTCCCAAACCAGAAGATACTTCCTGAGGAAAAGACTAGCCTGAGGGCAAGAGGCTCCTGCTAATCCCCATTCCATCCCAGTCTCAAAGCTGAGACATTCAAGCTAGAAGGATTTCCAGAGTCAGCCAAGGTGGCCACTAAGAAATAGGCATCATATTGGCAGAGCATTCCCCAGTGACATATGTGGCATTGGCTTTTAACAAATGGAGCCCCAGGAAACTGGCTTAGGAGATAAGGAAATTATATCATGATGTTGGATGCATGTGAACAGAACAAACCTCTTAAGGATTTGCACCCCTCTCATACTCCCCACCCTATGGATGGCTCCCTGCCCACCATAATTTCCCTCTCAGATAATTCTGAAGGACTGTGGGCAATGATACCAATGGACAATGTTCTTGCTGAATCAGCCTAGCTGACATTTTAGTAGTAGGTCATTTTAGTAGTAAGGGTCCACCGGTACTAAGAAAGGTTATCATCTAATCTTGTTAGTCCTGTCATTCCCTTTACCATTCACCAAGCTCACCTAATACTGGTCACTCTTTGGGTAATCAGTTACACTATCCTGGCCAAAAAAATAAATAAATAAATAATGTAGAAGATTTTGTAATACTCTCTTGTTTTACCTACATCAATGTATACTAGATATGGTATTGTGGAATTAACGTTCATAATTGTAGAACAGTTAAACATTGACATCACTTGGAGACGTGGTCAGTGATCTGAATATTGCCTTGGAATGTAACAGTCTATAGTTCTGGAAGGGGCGAAATAATTTATCTTCTAACCAGCTTTTCATTATATAATCCTCACCATTTATAAGAGTAAAGCAATACACTTTAAGGGAACAGAGAAAGCATTTTTTTCTTTCTTTTTTCTGTTTACCAAAGTCTACTTACTCGGTAGCCCAAGGAGCCCTGTTGTAGAGTAGGTTATGAGTTGGGCTGCAAACCACAAGGTCAGCAGTTTGAATCTACTAAGTTGTTCCGTGGGAGAAAGATGAGATCAAATGAATCCTGTAAAGATTTATAGCCCCAGAAACGCTAGTCAGGGATGCTATGAGTTGGAACCAACTGCACAGCACACAATCACCACCACCATAGAGTAGGCCACAAAATTGAGCTCTTTTAAAAAATGTGTTGTTGTTAAGGATTGTTCTCGACGGCACTTCACAACCAACAACAACAACAAATCGATACCAGAGCAGATTGCCTTATGGAATGGTTGGTGGGGTCAAAATGTTGACTTTCTGGTTAGCACCACCAGGACCCCTCATACTACCCCACAATTCTTCTCATGAGTATAGGCACAAAAGGATGGAAAACAGATTTCAGCCAAAAATGTGTACACTAATGTTCACAGTAACACTATTCACAACAACTAAAAGGTGGAAACAAACCAAATATCTATCAACTAATGAATGGAGCTCTGGTAGCGTAGTGGTTATGAATCGAGCTGTGAACCGCAAGATCAGCATTTCGAAACTACCAGCTGTTCCGCGGGAGAAAGATAGGCTTTCTGCTCCCATAAAGATTTACAGCCTCAGAAACCCTATACAGGGTTGCTATGAGTTGGAACCGACTCCATGGCACATAACCACCACCACCAATGAATGGATGAACAAAATGGGTTATATCCATGAAATAGAATATTATTGTTAAGTGGCAATGAGTCGGTTCCAACTCATATTGACCCTGTATAGATAGGATTGCCAAGGAGCAGCTGGTGGATTTGAACTGCCAAACTTGATGTTCAAACTGACCTTGCAGTCCAATGCTTATCCTACAGCGCCACACCAGGACTCCAATAGGATATTAAAATATATGAGACCCAGGGTAAGCAAAGCACTGCTTAAGAAAAAGAACAAAGTTGGAGGTGTCTTACTCCCTGATTTCAAAATTTACTACACAGCCACAGTGATCAAAACAGCCTGGTACTGGTACAATGAAAGATACATTGATCAATGGAACAGAATCGAGAACCCAGAAATTAACCCATTCACATACAGCCAAATGATTTTCGACAAAGTGCCTAGGCATATTGCATGGGAAGGAGATAGTCTCTTTAACAGATGGTGCTGGCAGAACTGGAAAGTGATATGCAAAAGAATGAAACAAGACCTTTACTTCATGCCCTATACAAAAACGAACTCAACATGGATTAAAGATCTAAATGTGAATCCCAAAATTATAAAGGTCATCAATGAAAACCCAGGGACAAATGTGAGGGCGCTAATTCAGGGCATACACAGACTACAAAACATTTTGAAAACTACACAAACAAAAGTAGACCAAATAGATGAGTGAGACATATTAAAAATTAAAAACTTATGTGCATCAAATGACTTCACCAAAAGAGTAAAAAGGGAACCCACAAATGGAGAAAAAATCTTTTGCAACGACACATCAGATAAGGGACTCATTTCTAAAATATGTAAGAAACTACAACACCGCTACAAGAAAAAGACAACCCAATAAAATGGGCACAGGACACGAACAGGCACTTTACAAGCAGGAGATTCAGGCAGCCAACAAACACATGAAGAAAATGTTCACGATCACTAGCCATCAGAGAAATGCAAATCAAAACAACAATGAGATAACATCTCACACCAACAATAACAGCAAAGATCAAAAAAGCAGAGGACAACAAATGCTGGCGAGGATGCAGAAAGACTGGGACCCTCCTACATTGTTGTTGGGACTGCAAAATGGTACAACCACTCTGGAAAGCAATATGGTGCTTCCTCAGAAGGTTGGAAATAGAAATACCTTAGGACCCAGCAGTTCCTCTACTTGGTATTGAAATTAAAATACAAGCCATAACACAAGTGAATATATGCACACCAATGTTCACAGCAGCACTATTTACAATAGCAAAAAGATGGAAACAACCAAAATGCCCATCAATTGAAGAATGGATAAACTGTGGTACATGCACACAATGGGATATTATTCTACCTTGAAGAACAACAAGGAAGCTGCAAGTCATCGCATAACATGGATGAACCTTGAGGACATTATGCTGAGTGAAATTAGTCACAAAAGGAGAAATACTGCATAGGACCATTATTGTAAAGGACTAAGAAAAAGAACCCACCCAAAAGGGGGGGGGGATCTATATATATAATTGCTGATCATCAGGATGTATGGGATGAGAGGAGAGGAGGGAGGGGAAGAAAGAGCACAGGGTAGGGAATAGACACAGGAGAGCCTGGGTGCTGGGGTGGGTGGGGAGGGGGTAAGGGCTGACAATATACAAGAAGGGGAAGGGAAAAAGAACAAGGCAGACGGGACAATGGTTGGGCAGGTTTGCATGGGCTAGGTGGGTTAGAGGTAAATGATGATGTATGCACTTAGAAAAAATTAAAATATAAAAATAGAATATTATTCAACCATAAAAAGAAAGAAAGTACTGATATGTGTTACAGAATAGCAGAATCTTGAAAATAATTATGCTCCCGGAAAAAATCTAGATAATATATATGAGATACAGCAAAGTACGTTTCCAAAATATTTTGGAATTTATAAATGATTTAGGGCTTGGTGGAAATCAGCAATTTACCTTCTTAATTTGCCTTCCTTTCAATTGTTGGAACAATAGTCTTAACTATTCTGGTATCTTTTTCCTGATTATAGAAGAAATGCTTTGTATATTAATTTATTTCCCAGGACAACTTGGGCAATAAAGAAGCATAGAAAAGCATTAAGATGAAAAATAGTCTATAATCTCATAATTTTTAGGTAACTTTATAAAATAAAAAATACCAGTTATGGTAAGAATAAGATTTTGTCTTTAAGATTAACTGACAGTATCTTTGATCAAATTAAGGCTAGCTGAATAAACTAGATGTTGAACACTTTCAGAGTTAAAAATCTTGTCTATTCTTCAAGAAAACAAGAATGCATGATATTTCTCACCTTTATTCATGCAGGACAACATTTTTTTAAAGTAATGGTTAAGGCTAAAATGAAATAATTTGCTATTTGAAATATGTGACTAATCTACTTAAATTTTTCGATACAAAAGAAAAGAAACCATTTTAACCAAGTAAAATTATTTTTTAAATGATTATTTGGCCAGAGTTATTACATTGGAACAAGAGCAGGAAATGTTCTCATCCTTAATCTTTCGACTTCAGCCTGCAGAATTAAAATCTGTTCAGTTTGTTGTTTTGAAATACTTGTTAATTTTTGTTGTTGCATCATGTCATCATATCGTTCTTTGGCAATCTTTTCACAAGTCAGTTTAGATCCTGTACCCAAAACAAACAAAAATAAGCTGATTGGGTTATTATAGGCATCTTAAATATAGAAGCAAAACTTAGTGAACTAAGTGGATCAGTTAAAACTTGTGGAAATCCCCCCTCCCCCCCAAAAAAACAATAAGAAGTAAAACAAACAAACAAAAAATAAATCAACAACAAACCAAACCAAACCAAAACCCTTGTGGAAATCCTGGTAGCATTATAGTTTCTCTATAGATTTAAACAAAAAAAGATAAAAAAACACTTACCAATAGCATTACAGATGTCTCTTCTCTCTGAGACAGCTACCAGCTCTTCTTGCAAATTGCAGCTTAGAGTATAATTTGCTACATCTTTGTGATTGCTGAATCTTCCCAATTTTTTAAGTAGTTTTTTACAGTGTTCCACATTCTTCTTGTGAGTCTGGAAATTATATTCCCATGACATCACACAAAAATAATTTTGTAAAAATGTATTAAATTTTATAATGACATTGTTCTCAAAATGTTAATGAAACATCCTCATTAAACTATCATTTTATCACCATATATTAATAACTAACATAATGCCTGCACATAGTGGGCACTCAAATTATTTGTTGAAAGATACAATGTTATATTAATGCCTCATTTCAGAAAACAAATCTTGCATACCCTTTAAAATGGTGGTGTTGTTATGTGCCTTGGAGTTGGTTCCGACTCATAGTGACCCTGTACAGGGTTCCCAAGGCTGTAAATCTTTACGGGAGCAGAAAGCCTCATCTTTCTCCCGTGAAACAGCTGGTAGTTTTGAACTGCTGACCCTGAGATAAGCAGCCTGATTAGTAACCAGATGATAAGAAAACCATGGTTTGGGGATTAGTTTGTTTACATCTTACATTTGCTAATAAAAAAAAAAACCCTGAGCATTCACTAAGAAGTTATGATAAAACAGTATTTTGCTAAGGAAAGACTATCAGAACTTCTAGTACATAAATTATAATGTTAAAAAAGGAAATCCACATACACTTGGATGTATCTCAAGGTGTTAATGCTAATGTTAAAGGAAGTGCTTCAGTCTATACCAGTTGTTTTGGTTACAAAAACACTATTCAGGAACCTCTAATTACATCATGAATATCAGTAAAGGACCAAGATTTTCTTAGTTCTATTCGATTCATTACTTGAAACGCTATTACTTTTTCCAAAAGACTTACAACTATTGGAATTATAATGATCAAAATTTTAGAGACTTACCTTATCTAAAACAGCTATGGTTTGCTCCATTATTCCAATCTGAATTGCTATCAAAGTTTCATAGTGTGGTTCATTTAGGAACTTTTGGAGGAAAAAAAAAATATGAAAAAAATATGTTAGGATATTTTTCTCTATTTTTAAGTTGTCATTAAGTGCAGTGGAGTCAGTTCTAACTCATAGTGACCCTGTATAGAGTTTCTGAGGCTGTAAATCTTTACAGGTGTGGAAAGTCTCATTCTTTTGTCACAGAGCAGTTGGTGAACTCGAACTGCCAACCTTGTGATTCGTAGTACAGTGTTTATCTGACAGAGCCACCATACTCCCCATTTCTTTTAATAGATAACTTTATATAGATTATCTTAATTTTGAAAGGGAGTTTTTCATAATAAATATCTGTCTTTTTATATTAAGATTGGTTTGACTTTGGTGCTGTGATATTTTGTTATATTTAACCAGCAATGTTGTTGTTGTTGTTGTTAAGTGCCATCGAGTCGGGTCCGACCCATAGCGACCCTGCACAGGGTTTCCGAGGGTATAAGTCTTTACGGGAGTAGAAAGCCTCATCTTTCTCCCGCGGAGCGACTGGTAGTTTCGAACCGCTGACCTTAAGGTTCGCAGCCCGATTCGTAACCACTACGCTACCAGAGCTCCTTTAACCAGCAATACACTCCCTTATATATCAGTGATTACCAGAGTAGTTTCTCATTCATTTATTCAGCTCAGAAAACCGCAGCAAGTGTCCCCCTGAGTACAGAGGCATTGAGGGCCACACAAAGACAACATGACTTAACCTTCAAAAAGAAGACTGCATTTACATATGATCTGTTGTTAGATCTAAATTCAGAAGAGATTTGTGAAGGGAGGAGAGTTCTCCAGGCTGGGGAAATGAGGAAAGGCTGTATGGAGGAGGTGACTTTTAAACTAGATTAAAAAAAAAAAAGATAGGCTTGGGATAGGGACAAAAATTGAGGGAAAATAGACCAGGTAGAGCAAAGGCACAGAGGCAGAATCTTAGAAAACAGTCATCAGTCTGGTTTAAGAATACTGCTGTTTGAGAGGAATAGTGGAAAATGAATTTGAAATAGTATGAATGCCCATCTGAGGATTTTATAATTCATTTAGCAGGTCGTTGTTGTTGTTATGTGCTGTGGAGTTGGTTCCAACTCATAGCGACCCTGTACAGGGTTTCCGAGGCTGTAAATCTTTAAGGGAGCAGAAAGTGGCATCTTTCTCTTGCAGAACAGCCGTTAATTTCGAACTGCTGACCTTGCGGTTCATAGCCCGATTCGTAACCACTACACTACCAGAGCTCCTTTTTAGCAGGTAAGAAGTAGCAATTTGAAATGTTTAAGTAGGATAGTAATGTTAGAATTGGATAGGAATATTAATCTGAGAGCAATATCTAGTTAGAGAAGACAAAGATTTAAAGTTGGAAAACCAGTTAGAGTATTATTTATAAAATCATTTAAGTCACTAAAAATGGAAGAATAAACCTGGGTAAAGGCAGTAGAGACATAGAATGAGAAATAGACTAGACTAACTTAGAAGGCCAGGGAATCAGGGCACTGAAACATGACAAAAACTTTAAGGCTGGGTAAGTGGCTGGAAAGAACAGAGTAAATCCAGAAGAAGAAGGTACTGTTGAGGGGATTATAGAAATAAAACACGAGAGAGGTCATGGGCACAGAGCTTGGTCTGAGAATTCATCTTTTAGAAGTGAGCCGTGATGTCAGAGAAATTGAGATCGGCAAAGAAGAGGGCATGAAGAACAAGCAACCCCACAGAGTTAGGGCAGAATCTTCAAGAATGGTCATATTTAAAATTAGAAGCAAAGGAGAAACCAGTAAAACAAGCAATGTGGTCTGACATGTTGGAAGAAAACCAGGATAAAACAGATGAGGAAAGCCAAAGGAATGGGTAAGTAGAGGGTCAAATTCTACAGAGAGTTGGAGGATGGTGAGACTGGATTTGACAATTAGGAAATTCTTGTCAAACTGCAAGATAGAACTACACTGAGTTGGTCATACAAAACTGGGGGCAACAAATGCAGACTCCTGGAAGAAAAAGAATCCATAGAGACATTATGAAATACTACTGAGTATTTGAGAAGATGCTTGGTACCACAGAGTCTTCTCATGAAATATTATTTAAATGAATGAAATTAAAACTATATAGGACAACCTAAGTGCCCATCAACTGATAAATAAACTAAAAATGGATATATATATATTATGGATTATTATTTAGTCATATGGAGAAATAAAGTTTTGATACAGGCTACTACAAGAATGAACCTTAAAAATATTACGCTAAATGAACTATGCATAAGTCTGACATAAAAAGACAAATATTGTATGCTACCACATACATGAAATATCTAGAATAGATGTAAATGCCGAGAGATAAAAACTTCTTATTGGTACAGGGGCCCAGGTGAGGGCAGAATGGGGATTATAATTGAAGAGAAAACTAAATTTCTGTTAGCAGGGGGGCCGGGGGAAGGGGAGGCTTTTGGAAATGTTTAGTGGTAATGGAAGCAAAATGTGAATATTATATGTTTATATGCAAATGTCCCAGAATTGTACACTTAAAATGGTTACAATGGCAAACTATTATCATATACATTTTACCAGAATAAAAACCAAACTACACAGTGGGGCAAGGGAAGCTTACTTTTTGACGATCTCTTGAAAAAAACAGCATCTGAATATCCCAAGCCTTCTGATTGAGATCTTCCATTTCCATCTCCATCTTCTTATGTTCCCACTCCATCTGATAGATCCCTTTGTGAACATTCTTACTCTCCACCATGCTACTGACTTTCTTTTGTCCTTGGGTCTTAAAAAGTACATTTCAGTATTCAGATAATATGATTCTGCATACAGAATTATAGGATATATAAGCTACTATACTTAGAGATCTTGAGTCCTGGTGTGGTGCTGTGGGTTAATGCGCCAGACTGCAAAGCCGTTTGAACTGCAAGGTTGGTGGTTCAAGCTCACCAATTGCTCCTCGGAAACCCTATACAGGGTCGCTATGGGTCGGAACCGACTAGATGGCACTTAACAACAACAATAACAACATACTTAGAGATAATTCTATCTTCTTTCAAAAATTCTTTAAAAATGCAGCAGATAATAAAAAAAAATTACTTCTTGGGCAAATTTGATCACTGTTAACACAAGATACAAGATAGTTCATAAGCAGTAGGATTATAAAATATACTTAAATGCAGACAAAATTTACTTTATTGCTGTTAGTTGTTAAGGGCCATTGAGTCAGTTCTGACTCATGATGGTTGTGGTGTGCTGTGGAGTGGGTTCCGACTCATCGTGACCCTGCATAGGGTTTCCGAGGCTGTAAATCTTTACAGGAGCAGAAAGCCTCACCTTTCTCCCACAGAACGGCTAGTAGTTTTGAATGTAGCAGCCCGACTCATAACTGCTATGCTACCAGGGTTCCAATTCATAACGACCCTATATAGGGTTTCTGAGGAGCCACTGGTAGGTTTGAACCACCAATCTTGTGTCTGGCAGTCCAATGCTTATCCTACAGTGACACACCAGGACTCCAAATTTATTTGTTTGTTTTTTTTTTGTTGCTAAGTTCAGTCGAGTCGGTTCTGACTCATAGAGACCCTGCATAGGGTTTCTGCAGAGTGACTTGGTGGGTTTGAACCACTGACCTTGTGGTTCAAATCGACCTTATGGTTAATCCACACCAGGACTCCAAATTTACTTTGTTGTTGTTAAGTGCTGTCGAGTTGATTCTGACCCATAGCGACCCTGTATAGGGTTTCCAGGGAGCAGCTGGTGAGCTTGAACCACCAACCTTGCAGTTCAAACGACTTTGCAGTCTGATGCATTATCCCACAGTGCCACACCAGGATTCCAAAATTACATTATACGTCCTTAATTAGGCAGGAACTACTTTTGTGTGGTGCTGTAGGGCAAGCACTGGACTGCCAAACACAAGGTTGGCAGTTCAAACCCACCAGTTGCTTGCTATGAGTCCAAACTGACTTGGTGTTTAACAACAGCAGTCTGCCAATCTGTATGCATCTGTATCTCTGCTCGCTGGCCTTGCTCCTGACATGGTGGATGGAGACTTGTACTTTTATGCAGTAAGGCACAGGTATATTAGGTTGGTAGCTAGTGAAAGAAAAAAAAAAGGGAAGGGAGAGAGAAAGAAAGACAGGAAGGAGGGAAAAAAGAAAGAAAGAGTTCAAAGACATGGAATACCTACATGTTTTGCCCTTCACTTTGAATTGCCTAGATGTGAACATGAAATCATCAAATCGCTCATAATTTTGTACAAGAATTACATCAGCTAATATTTTACAGTTTTCCTCTCTTTAAAAAATGGAATTTTTTGAAGTCCATACAATCAGACTATACCACTTGTTGGCTCCTTTTTCTTATCCCCACCTCTGCATCACTGCCCAGCATCTCCAGGCCTTCGTTTACCACTTTGAAAGAACTTTTATCTATTTCACCTTAGCCACCCAACTCCCATCATTAGATCCTCGCTCTCGCTACCACCATCTGTAACATCATAACATCCCTCCTCCCTCTAGGACAATCTCCTTCTCTTCTTTGCTTTCCTTTAGGGTCACCTTTGGTGTAAGAGTTATTTATAGTCACTACATCCTTACTTCAGAATATTCCATCACTCATCACCAGCTTAGCTCCAACTCCAATATGCTACTGAGGCGGTCCTGGACGAGTTGCTGACATAAGCCAACAACTCCCTCCATCTTGGGGCTGTTTCTCTCTGTCACACTGGCCCTAACTCCCTTTCCTTTTGTCCACCTGCTTCCTAAATAATCTCGTACCTTCTATTACCTATATGTAGATAGCGCGTAACTGTCTATATGCGATTTATAATTACTGGTAGCATAGTGGCAATGAGTAGGGCTGCTAACCTCAAGATCAGCAGTTCAAAACTACCAGCGGTTGTACCGAAAGATGAGGCTTTCTGCTCCGTGGCACATAACCACCACCACCATGAATAATTATGTGCTATAAGAGTCCTAGTATGGAGCTGTGGGATAATGTGCTGGACTACAAGGTTGGTTTGAACTACAAGGTCAGTGGTTCAAATTCACTAGCTGCTCCTAGGAAACCCTATACAGGGTCGCTATGAGTTGGAACCAACTCAAAGGTACTTAACAACAACAATTATCTATAGGTAGTCTACTCCTTAACACTGGGTAATTAACATTTCTACTGGGATGTTTCATTTGTTGTTGTTGTTAGGTACCATCAAGTTGACACTGAGTCATAGTGACCTTTTGCAAAACAGAATGAAACACTGCCCAGTCCTGAGCCAACCTCACAATCATTGCTACGCTTGAGCCCACTGCGCCAATCCATGTCTTTGGGGGGGTCTTCCTCTTTTTCTCCAACTGTCCACTTTACCAAATGTGGTGGTGGTTGTGTGCCGTGGTGTCAGTTCTGACCCATAGCAACTCTGCATATGGTTTCCGAGGCTGTAAATATTTATAGGAGCAGAAAGTCTTATCTTTCTTCCACAGAGTGGCTGGTAGTTTCGAACTACTGACCTTGAGGTTAGCAGCCAAACTCGTTACCAAACATTTGTTGTTGTTATGTGCCATTGAGTCGGTACCAACTCATAGTGACCTTATGCACAGCAGAACGAAACACTGCCTGACCCTGGGCCAACCTCACTACAGTTGTCATCGATGCTGCCACTTGGCCAATCCATCTCGTTGGGGGGGTCTTCCTCTTTTTCTCTGACCCTCCACCTTACCAAACATGATGTCTTCTCCAGAAACTGGTCCTTCCTGACAATATGTCCGAAGTATGAGAAATGGAGTTTGGCCATCCTGGCCTCCAAGGAACACTCTGGCTACACTTCTTCCAAAATGGATCTATTGGTTCTTTTGGCAGCCCATGGCACTTTCAATGTTCTCCTCCAACACCATAACTCAAAAGCATCAATTCTTCTATGGTCTTCCTTATTCACTGTCCAGGTTTCACATTCATATGAGGTTACTGAAAATACCATAGCTTGGGTCAGGTGCACCTTAGTCCTCAAGCTGACATCTTTGTTCTTCAACACTTTAAAAAGGTCTTGTGCAGCAGATTTGCCAAATGCAATACACCGTTTGATTTCTTGACTGCTGCTTCCATGAGTGTTGACAGTTGATCCAAGAATCTTTTCTCCATTGATAAGAATGTTGTTTACTGGTCCAGTGGAGAGGATTTTTGTTTTCTTTACATTGAGATGCAATCCATAC